TCAATTTTTATTGTGTGGCCTAGCAGAGGGTCATGTTTAAAAATAAAAATAAAACTAAAAATTAAAAAAATAAAAAAGACATGCACCAGAATCTAGAGACATCCCATAGGAATTTCTTGTCTCTCTGGCAGAATTTACCAGCTGTAGCAACATGCATATTTCTCTCTCTATTCTTAGTGTAAGAGAACTGCCAATAAAAGCTGCTTTTCAGCTTCACAGATAAAACTATTTTTTTTCTCTTGCTTGCTATTTTTCCTGAAAGAACTTTGTTTGCTTTTTAACTGTAGAGCAACGGGGCCCCAGAAATTTCAAGTCTGTGATGAAGCCTCAGTTGCAGAGCTCATCAGCTGAGTTTGTGAATTAACAATGTCTGTATCCCCGGGCCATCATTCTTCTCAAATAACAGGGAGCTGGATCACTGCCCTTCTGGGTGAACATCAAAAGTTGTGGCCAAGGAGATGTGAAACGTTGCTTCTAGAAGAATAAAGGTGAGGACAGCAGAGGCACTCAGAGCTGCAAGTGCAACTGCTCACTTCATTAAAAAGGTGGCAAATCTGTGGGTGGCGAAATCAAACAGAGGTGGGAGTGTTACAGCCATGCTCTTCCATGTTTTCTCAAGCACTGCAGAGCTAAGATATCACCTCTCACTTCAACATTTGACAGATTTTATTTTATATGTCAGGCACCTCACAAACTTGAATTTCATTTTAATGCTCTGGTAAAGCCTCCCTCCTAGTAATAATGTTCTGCTTTCTGCTTTATAAACCACCAGAAAATCCATATGTTTCATGTTAATTCTGTTGAAAATACCTTGAACTGAATATCCTTTTAGAAATTTTGTTACACGTTTCCAGCCTTAGAAATTCTTATTTTGAAGACCTGCATCAAAGAACAGGTTTAAATCTTAGCTTAAAAAAAATATGCTCTGCTGGAAGTGTAGATAGTGGAATCTTTTTTTCCTACAAATCAAGTGCAACCTAGTTTAATTGTTATTGTGGTCCCTCCCCACTGCTTGCTTTCCACTGTTATACAATAACCTCCTTTTGTTAGAAAGCAACAAAAAAATTAGGTTTAACTATGTCCCCTACTGGTGGCCTTGAAACTTTATGGCCTCCCCCTGACACTCCATGCACATGACAATGTTCAAATCAGCCTTATTCTTTCTCAGGACAGGAATCAAACTCCTGAATAAATCAGAATTATTTCTAGTGGAAGACTTTTTTCTAAATTGCATTTATGCAACTTGTAATTACATTTCACATGAAGTACCAGGGAGGATTATGGGGAATAGGAGAGCACCTACTGTAAATATCTATTTCCCATAGAAGGCATCAGGGCAAGTTATTAGCCCTTTGTGGTTGTAAATAATTAATTCAATTCAATATTTGGGGTTACCTGGGGTTTAAATTGGTACTGATCTTAGTCTAATGTTTCCAATTTCAGGAATTGAAACACATTACTATCTGCCTTTGCCAGCATGCAAAATGTTAATCTTGATAGATTGCATTATTCTTTATAGAGAGCACTTTTTGTTCCACTTATATTTCAGCATCTTAACTCCTCGACATAAGGATGCTTTAGCTCTTTATATTGAGAACACTGCACATTTATTTTAATTGGATAACTGAGCTTTTCTGCTTACTGAGCTGTCTGCCTGACATTTGCAAAATGCAGCTTTTTTTTTCCCCCAACATAACCTAGCTGTTCATTTTTATAAGGCCTGTCATCCAAAACACAGAACCTAATCCTTAATTAGTTGTCATATTTGTTTAGATGTTATACATCATCCATTGGACTGAACTGTTTGGTTTACTGTCCTTTCATAATGTCCATTAAATGATTATTTTTGCATTCACTTATGTTTTATTTAACAGTTTTCTTACATCCTGAACTCCAGACTCACAGGCCTGTTGTTAAAGAGTGAAATCATTAAATTGGCCAGGCACAGAGGCTGCCCAGGCAGTGAAAGGTAAATTCCAGCTCACAGAGCAAACTGTGGGGCTCTAAAGCCCCTTCACAACAAGCTTTCCTCCAGTTTGGATTTTCAGCTGTAAATCCCTTTTGGAATAGGAGCTATGAGGAGCCAGTGTGTGTCCCATGGGATGGAGAAGGGACACCACTGTCCCCTGATCCTCTTTAAGCCGGCAGTGGGGTCATGGAGGCAGGATTTATTCACTGGGATGTGGAGCAGGGACTGCAATCCAGGGCAGAGTCCCAGCCAGCAGACCACTCTAGAAGTGTTTCTCAATGACTAATTATTTAAGTGAAATGGAGGGTCTTTAGCAGAAGAATTGAGAACAACCTAACCCAATATTCTCATGGCAACTACTTGTGGAAAAAAATCCTGTATAAACTGAGCCAAGAGAAGACTTCCAAAAGCAATCTCCCACATGCATTTGTGAATGCCTTGAACATGATGTCAGTGGGCATTGCAATCACCTCCACCTCCCTTCCACACAAAACTCATTCTTTGTGCCCTGCCAGGCACTGCAAAGCACTCAGAGCAAGGTCACCTACCCTGAGTGTCCTGGCTGGACATGAGGTAGGAACCTGAAGAGTGACAGCATCTCCTGTGGAGAGCTAAACAGCAGCTGAGCAGGAGCTTCTGGCCCTGAATGCTGCCTGCCTGGACACCTCAAATGACATTGTTATTTCCAGGTCCCTTCATGGACATAATTCTAAGTATCTGCCCTTCACAAGTGGGCAAACGTGTGTGTTCCACTGCTCTGCTGCCAGCAGGAGCTGTGTCCCAGCCAGGGAGTCACAACTGCACTGCCATGGCATGGCACTCATCCTCTGTGTGCATACAGGAAATATCCCTACAGAACTAAATACAGCGTGAAATAAAAACCTTTCTTTTCCACGTGAGAAAATAAGGGTGAGCTCTTGAATCTAAAAGCACTTCGAATATTTTACCTCCCAGTGCTCATCCCTGTCTTACCTCAGGAAAAGACTCAAGTTGATGGTATGCTAGCATATACTGCCCATCTCTTCCTCTGATCCTAGTCCACATCCATTGTGCTTTTTGTGAAGTGCTGTGAGACAATTATTGGTATGCAGAGCACTGGGGAAGTGCTGCAGAGGCATGAAAGCTGCCTGCATAGTCTGGAAGGACTCAGCACAAAGCTCCTGTTACAGTGAGAGGTGAAGCATATGCCCTTTAGGTATAAATGAAGCATCAAGATAAACTTTTATAATACTGGAAAATGACTCTTTTTGATGACACTTTCATAAATTCTTCAAAGACCTCCCAAAATCATTGTCTCCCTTCTGATCTCACCTCCCACTCGAATCTTCTCTTCCCACTGAAACAAGGTTACTTTTACTTTTTTCCTTCTTCTTTCTTCTCTCCCTTGCACCTACCAAAATGATGGTATTTCAGCTCTACTTTTAGGGAGGAAATGATTTGCACAGCCTTTTTTCTTCATGCATCTGTACTGTAAAACTGAAAAAATGTGGCAAGAGGAACATGTCAAACTTGCAAAAAAATCACTTGAGGCAAGAAACAGCAATATGACATGACAGCAATTGAAACTGAAGACAAGGTTCCCAGAAAGTTAAAGAAAATTAAATTCTAGCTAAAAAAAAAATCCTAAAATTTTACCCAAATTAGAAGCTAATAACTTGAATGCCCAAAAAGATGACCAAGGACAGAGTAGTACAGAACATCCTACACAGGGGCAGCTCTAAGATCTTCTATGAAGCTTTAATTTAATTTTAGCTAGACAATTAAAGCTGTATAGGAACTTTAAATAATTGGAATAAAAATACCCTGCAAAGATGACTGCCTTTTGTCTTTTGGTTACATGTGGGGCCTTCCTCATTCTCTGGCCAATTGTTCAACAAAGTTTTTGCTAAATTATCATGTGTTGGCTAAGAAAGGAAGCAGCACTGCATTAGACATAAGTAATGATACCAGACAAAAGCAGATGAATCCAATGATGTAAAAATTGTGTGGCATTTCAGGTTCTCCATGTGTGTCTATGTGTCCCACTTGTGTTTATCTGCCCAGATGTTTCTTGCCTGCCTTCAGCCCAAATCTTACCCAGCATTTCCACCTCAGTCATTCATCCAGCCACCAAGGCAAGCAGTGCAATGCATCCATCATAGCTGATATGCACGAGAGTGCACTTGGACATTTAGTGCTTCTATGTCATATAAAGATTTAAATTAAGCACAGCATAGTATCTCCCCACCATTCCTGGCAAATATCAAGGTTTCTTCTCTTTAGCTTCCTGAAAGGATTCAGGCACTTGGTAGAATAAAACTTCCTGCTAAACTGCAGCCCAAGCAATACTGAATCCCTTCTCTCTGTCTTATCTTCCTCTGCCAAACTAGAGTAAAATGGGAACCCAGGTAGAAGAGTCACAGAATTCTGTTGGCAGGCATGTGACATGGCACAAGGTACCCTCAGCAGCATCATCTGGACCTGCTGGGCTGATGGGCATAGAACTACAGCACGTGGACACCTTGCTTGTGGCTTGGGCAAAAAGCCTGGCAGTGCCAGGAGGAGCCTCTGGACCAGCAATCTTTGCTTGCTTCCCTGCCCCTGCTGTGCACAGAAACAGGCTCTGGCCATGAAAGCGACAGCTCAGTGGGAGGATAACTGGCATCTGGAAGTGTGGAAGATTCCTTTTCCACCCCTGGGAACAAACCCCAGTTACTCCCCAAGCATTCAGCACTCCAGTGCTGCCTGGAAAACAGAGCTGCTGCTGCTGGTGGAACTTGTCATCCTTGGCAGCAAACCTTGACCCAGTGCCCGGCTGGCTGTCCCACGCTGGGCACGGACACGGGGACAGACACACGGACAGCCAGCAGCCCCACACACCCCAGGGGCAGGGCTGGCACCGGTGGGACCAGCCCCAGCAGGAACAGCCCCGTGCCCCCCGGGCAGAGCTCTGGGGCACACCGTGGGCACAGGGCCATGGGCACACTGTGGGCACTGCCCTGGCACCCACACTGCGAGCAGGGAAAGCAAAATGACTTGGAACACCAACGGATTTGTACCTTTTCAGACTAAGCTTTTATTTTGATATTACAAACCATTTTTCTTTATTCACAAATCACGGTTGTGATATAAACACTAATTTCTAAAGACAGATATACACATTTTCTGGGTTTGTAGGGTTTTTTCTTTTTAAATCTGTTTAGAAGTCACTATATTCCACATATGGTAGTAATAATTTTTTCATAAGTCATATTATCAGTAGTTATTTATATAAGTGAAAACATTCCCAATATATATTGTAAAAAAATTTCAAATGCTTTTCTTACATAACTATTTCAGACATACATTTTAAAATGACTACTAGGAGTACTGTAGGAGTTTTATAAACAAAATATTTTCTAATATGGGCTGCACCCTCAACCTTTCAAGATAATTTTAATAGACTAAAACGCCATATAATCATTTGGAGAGTGGGAGCTGTAAAGCCATCTCAGGAAAATTAAAATTGCAAATAAATTCTGTTATTCTCTACATTAGACATTTTGTGTGTGCAATTCCAAAAAAGATGTCTCATCCACACTTTAAATTGGAAGCCTAACATTTGGTAAACATTTTTCAATTTGCTTTCATCATGGTGTTTAAACAAAATTTACTTTGTCTTTTTATTAACAGGAGGCTAGTTTTGCATATCTTACATAATAAATGTGGGGATCGAACTCTTAATAAATTTCGTTTCATTCCCTCACCAGTATAAATATATGTTACTGCCCCATTTTTCATCGATTAATATAGTCTCTTTCTCTCTCTGTTTCAATTTTAAAGATAATTTATTTATCATCCTTAGATATAAATGCTACAGAAACTTCGTTTTCAAATCTTGTGAAACTTTATTGATGGTTATTGTTCAACTGATCATACTGCATGCACATACGATGACAAAGAGAAAGCCTGATCACAAACACTTTTTTTAAAGCAGAGTTGTTATAGCAAGTTGGCAGGTTCACAGCGGTGAGTTGATCATTTACTAAGGTGCTGGCCGGGTGGCAGCACGTTACACATGAGGATATAACTACCTGCAGCAAACCCCTGGCGGGACGCTTTGCCGCGTTTATTTATTTAAATACAAAACCAAGAAGACCCGTGACAAACACCCCAACTTAGGTTAACTTGTAAACAGGACAACATGGAAAGAGTCCAAACATATGCACGGACAACCTGCAATTTTTCAATGGTGCCTGGAAGCGTTTCCCGGGCGCTGCTGGGCGGCACCGGCCGGGCTGTGACCGGCGGCTCCTCCCAGGAGCGCTGGGGTGGGAGAAGGTCCTGCTTTTGTCCCAGGTGCAAAACTTGTCTTGGGCCCAATATCGAGCAGAATGGCCTCGGTTTGGGTTTGGAAATCGAATGGTGGGGTTTGGAAATCGAACAGGGGGGCGAGCTGTCACGCCTTGAAAAATTGCAGATTGCTTACACGACACAGTCATGTTTCAAAAAGTACCAAGCTGATGAAAATACCATGATTATCTCTACTCAATGATTGCAATACTTGTAAAATGCTTATATAAATCTGAATATGATTATCATATAATTCCATAAAAATGATACGTCTGTCTCTAACAGTTGGTCTACTAGGCT